GCCGGCCCCCCCCCCCCCCCACACACACACACACAGACACAGAGTCCTTGGGGAGAATGACATATTCTAGTTTTATACACCCAGGGCGGATGCACAAAAGCTAAATGCTCAAAGCACTCTAACAACGTGAATCCCAACTGATTTAATCACTCAGGATCTCTCAAGTTGGGCACCCAAAATCACTCGCTACATCTGGAGACCTTGGCCTAAGTTACTGCTTGCAGGAAGTCTGAAGCAGAGAACTCAAAATAGACTTTTGACATATTCTAGTTTTATACACCCAGGGCGGATGCACAAAAGCTAAATGCTCAAAGCACTCTAACAACGTGAATCCCAACTGATTTAATCACTCAGGATCTCTCAAGTTGGGCACCCAAAATCACTCGCTACATCTGGAGACCTTGGCCTAAGTTACTGCTTGCAGGAAGTCTGAAGCAGAGAACTCAAAATAGACTTTTCTCCCTCTCGAGCATGTCTGGTGCTATGAATGGCTTGTTAGCTCCACTGCTGTACCTCTTGTTTGCGCTGTTCATCAGATACGAGCCTGGGCAAGTTTGTGCATTTCAAGATGAACTACTATTCAACAGGTCTGGTTTTTAAAAGTTGTATTTAGGATAGACAGGCTTTGCTTACTTTGTAAGTTCAAGATCTGAAAGAAGCTGCTTTAGATGTCTGGAGAGTAACTTCTTTTCCATGGACAGTCGAACCCAGGCCCTGGCCTTACCAACATCTGTTTTGATCTCACCAATGTTCTGGATATGCCTAAAAAGGGAGGAGGAAAAAGATAATCAGACACTGATTAGTAATATCATCTCTTCAGTTTTTTCACATTAAGCAGGCCTGGGGAACAACTGCTGGGGAAAAAACCCCAGAGCCATAAATATAATTCATTATCCAAGAACCTTGCATCACTGTATATCTAGCTAAAGAAAGACACAAAAGAGAGAAGTTACCAGTACTGCAGTGCCTTAGTTTCAGCATTCTAGACCAGCCCCATTGCCTCACAATGATTTAAGGCTCACTCCTGTCCTTATAGACACAGACTTAAAGGTCAGAAGGGACCATTGTGATAATCTAGAATGACTTCCTGCACACTGTAGATCATAGAACCTCACTCACCCATCCTGTAATAGACCCCAAGCTCTGGCTGAGTTACTGAAGTCCTCAGATCGTAGTTTTAAGGACTTCAAGTTAGAAATGTCACCATTTATACTAGTTTAAACCAGCAAGTGACCCACACCTCATGCTGTAGCGGAAGGCAAAAAAATCCCATGGACTCTGCCAATCTGACCTAGGGCAAAATTACTTCTCAACCCCAAATATGAAGACCCTGAGCATGTGGGCAAGACCAACCAGGTAAAATACCTAGGAAAGAACTCTCTATAGGATTCAGAGGCCTCCCTGTCTAGTGTCCCATCTCCAGCAGCTGGGGATTTTTGCTACTGACAGCTGCCAGTGAGCCATGTGACACTGTAACAATATGGTTTTTCTGTAATCATGATGGAAGGCCTGAAGCCATTCTGGCAGCCAAACTGAAGAGCAGCAGCCATTAGCTGTAAGGTCTAGAGTCACATACTCACATTCCATCTATTTTGTATTAAAATAGTGTCATACCAAATTGTGAGAAGGGGATTTTGTCCGGATAGCTCCCACACTGTCACCAGATAAACAAATCTCAAGTTGGGTAAAGAAAACTTAAGTAACACTGTTCTGTCCAGCAAGAAACTGCTTATCAATACTTGAGGCTGTGGAATCCTCATTCTATGATCACTGTCATTACACTTTCCTATTGTTTGTCTGTGTGATCTCTGTCTGGTTTGTAACTGTTTCTGTCTGTTGTATAATTAATTTTGCTAGGTGTAAATCAATTAAGGTGCTGAGGTATGATTGGTTAGGTAATTTTGTTATGATTGGTTAGTAAAATTATACTGAAATATAAAATTATACTGAAATAATTGGTTACGGTATAGCTAAGCAGGACTCAGGTTTCATTATATAAACTGGGGTCCAAGAAGGAGACCAGGAAGAAGATCGGAAGTGACAGAAGCAGAAGGAAGGAAGCAAAAGGCTGGAAGACCAAAGGGAGACAAGGAATACCAAGGAGAAGGGGGAAGACCTGGAAGAAGACATCACCTCTGAGACACAGCCTAAGACCAGACCATGACGTGCAGCAGCTAAGATCCAAAGAGACTGATCTTGCCTGGCCAACAGGGGAAGTTTGCCTATACCAGGATTGGTGAGCATGACACAGTGTGCTTAACATATGTATTCTGCTTGTTTGGGAATTGTCAATAAATAGAGGATAAGGATATTACTGTGTAGGGCTCCTTCAGTGGCTAAAGATCCTGCCAACCCGCAGGAAGATGTGCCCTGAGCCCTAGGAATTGGGTAAGGGTGGGTGTGTAAATTAACAGGGTTGCACCTTGAGCCCTAGGAACTGATTAAAGGTGTGCGCCAGGGATAGATAAATTTGTGCAGGTAACAACTTCATAGGTCAAACTCCCTCCCAGATCAGGCATCCCTTCTACACTCCTGCCCCAGGTCTCAGAACCCTCTCCTACACCCAAAATCTATCCCAGACCCCACATATTCTCCCATTAATATACAATAGAAAAGTGTAGCCTATGACCACATCCCAAAATTCTTGGAGTGCCTCCCCGGCCAAAATTATTGTCCATCTCTGTCACAGGCACTCCCATAATACCAACCCCCTCCATACACTGAAAACCAGTTACGTTTTTTCCTTCCACTGCTCTCTCTTAAAAGGCTGTTCCAGAACTTCAGTCATCTGGTGATTAGAAACTTTCATCTAATTTGAAGCCTACACATGTTTCTGGCCAGCATACATCCATTCATTCTTCTGTACACACTGGCATTTAAGTTAATAGCTCCCCTTCCTCTCTGGTATTTATCCTTCTGATGTATTAACAGAGAGCAATCATCTCTCCCCGTAGCCTTTGTATAGTTCGGCTACACAAGCCAAGCTCTTTGCATCCCTTCTCAGAGTAGATTTGCCATTCCTTGGATCATTCTAGTAGCTCTTCTCTGCACCTGTTCCGGTTTAAATTCATCTTTCTTAAACATGAGGAGCCAGAATTGCACATGGTTCTCCAGATGAGGTCTCACCAATGTCTTGTTCAAAGATTTCACCATTTAAACTAGTTTAAACCATTGTGCTTTGTACAAGGATACTAACACTTCCATGCCTCTACTGTAAATACCCTACCTGACACGCCCTAGGACTGCAGTATGCATGGCTGAGTGCCCTTGTGCACACAACAGCAGAAGCAAGCTACAAAGTCTCCAGAGGTGACTAATGATTTTGGGGGCTCCACCTGAAATAGACCCTTGAGACTCAAGTGACTTAATCACTCAGGATATCTCAAGTTGTTAAGAATGCTTTGAATCAAAGCCTTTGTGCATCAACCCTCCCTGTATAAACCTGGAATACCTCCTTTCTCCCAAGGAGTCTCTGTGTAAGCGCTGCAATACAAACATAAATCAATCAAACAATCAATCAATCAAGTAAGGTCAAACGGAGGAGAGGTTCAGCTTGTCCTCTAAAACTGCAGTCACAATGCTATGTGCCTGTATTTTACATATCAAATAAGCAAATAGCATTTCACAGAATCAGCCAATCCATAGAGCTTTATTAAAGAGCATCTTCTGATCGCCTGTCAACACAGTTACAAAGTTTTTTTTAAAACCACTTCACAGAGCAGTATAAATAGCTATACTAAAAGTGTAAATCCTTATTTGCTTAAATACATAACTCTCATCACTAGATGTATTAATTATTTTTATTCATTATCTCCCATTGTATAGACCCTGTTCCAAAATATTTGGTCTCACTCAGTTGCTCAACGAGCCTTATACACTAGCAGAGCACACTAAAATTTAACCTGAAAATATAAAAGTAGCATGAATCAGAGTCAAATGGAGTGAAGACTTTGAACAAATGATTAAAAAGAAGTTATGGGCAGCTGCATTATGTAATGCTTCTCAACAGAAGAGATCAGCAGGATCCACAACCTGGCTGGGCTCCTGGGCAAGGTGGGGTTGGGGCTCTGCACTCCCAGAGAGGGCGGGGCTGGGCAGCTCCTAGCTCTGCACCACACCCCAGCCTTCAGCGTTGCCCAGCACACATGCCACACAGAGCTCCAGCTGTGATTTAAAGGGCCCGCGGCTCTGGCCATCACTGCTGCAGTAGCAACAGCAGCAGCAGCCGGGAGCTACCAGGCCTTTTGTATCGCTGGATCTGCACCCTTCTGTGTTGGTGGGCCTGAAAGAGATCAAGCAGATAACTACCAGAATACTATGGGAGGAATTATACCAATTTTAGAGAGAGGGGTACAGAGGCACAGAGACATTTTTTAATCTATCGAGGCCATGGAAGAAGCCAACAGCAGAGCTACCAGGCCTGAGAATGAATCTATTGTCAAGTCTGAAAAGGTGTTTGTACTAAAAAGCATCAAACACAGTAAATATGTACTGTCAGTTTTGTCACATTGGCTTTCGCACTCTTTGCGCACTTAATGGCGAAAGTCTGGCCAACCCATGCTAAGATTCAAAGGTTGTTGAGGTTTATCAGGAAACATGGAGGAGTTCAGAACTGCCCAGCTGGTCCCACAGTAACTGGATAGATCCTGTCCCCCAATCTCAGAAGATACCACAGATATAACTCAGAAGACAAAGAAGGAAGGATATTTTCTAAGGCTATTGTTACAAGCTAACGGGTAGTACAGTGAAGTCACATACTGTAAGTGTATGGTTTCCTCATTATGCAGCAAGTTTCACTCAGGTCAGTGAAAGAATTTCACTATAAATCTTGGCAAATTGCTTAGCAATTTCTTCCAGCTGAAGCACATTGCTTTTCCAGTTGAGCAAGCACCTCTTCCAGAGGAAAAACAACTGCAAAACCAGGAATTACAGCCAAACAAGTGTCAGCCTTGAGGGTCCAAAATTGGAATTTATAATCCAGAGTTCTTTATATTATGAAATAATCTTAGCCTTTCTAAGATTTAGTAATAAAAATTTTTTCATCCCATTTTCTTTCATAACAGACTTTATGGAGACAGAAAGAGAAAGTGATTTTTATTATTTACATTAATTACGTCTATAGCTCAGGTTCACTCAGAATGAAAATACAAAATTCATACGAGCCATTCAGGAGTTACACTTTCTTTCGGCATTACTGAAGTAAACCTTTAACACAAGTTGCATGCATAGGAGCAAGGAGACCTTTAGGACTTCTTGTACCACTTCAAACTAACCTCATATCCTGAATGAGAGAGATTCTCAGGGGAGACATGGCTGGACTGGCATCTGACTTTCTCCTTTCTGAATCAAGAAGTACTCCTAAAACAAGAAAGATTTTTGGAAATCAATGGAAAAATAATTCAAAGATTTTTAAAACAACCTTTAAACAACACTTTGTGCCAGTAACACAATGAAAGAATTAGAGAACATTTCAGAGAAACCGTTTTCCCTAGAATCCAGAAATGGTACATGACATGCTGCATATGTTCGTGTTGCCAATGACACATGGCTTTGTGAAAACAGTATAGCCAAAATGAGTGCTGACTAAGGCAGTATATTAACTCCATGGAAAACGCTGAGATGTTCAGGCAACTCATACGCTCAGCACTATGACATATTAATAAGCTTAATATGCAGGATTGGTGGGAGACCAAAGAGTGCGAGCTATACAAACTATTTATCATTGAAGTATTATTTTCTAAAAAGTTCTTCACTTCCTTCCCAAATGAGCTATCACAAGTTGTCATGGGAAAAATCTGTGTTGAATGGTATGTGTTCAACGTAGCCCGTGAAGCCTGCATTAAATCACAGAAATGGATAAAACAAGTAGAACACAAAACCTGGAATTTAAATGCTGAGCAATGCTATCTTTATATCACATCTCAAACACTATACAACCAGCAGCCACCTGCTCTCAGTCCCAAGGTAGAAAGAACAGCCTCAGCAGTTAGTTTGGAACCTAAGGCTCTGCTTGTTAAACCAATGCGCATAGTGGACTACTTGCACAACCATGCACAGGCTACTAAAGATCAAATTCTCTGCTGGCACAACTACTGAATTTGGGCAAAGAATTTGGCTCTAAAAACTGCTTGTGCCTCAGTTTCTCCTTCTGAGAAATTGGAACTAAAGAGCTTTTCCCACATTTGTAATGAACTGACTTAAATCATTAATGCACTTCTTCCTTTTTTCCAAAAGACACCTATTTGCTGAAAACAAAATGTATACTAAATAGAGGTTACTTATATTGCATAAGAGAATTTATACAGTGGAGAAAGAAGTACTTAGCTCTCCACTCTATTAATATGAAAGAAGTTAAAAGTTTCCAATGTGTTCCTACCAATAGGTATGGTTACCTGTATTTATGTACCACCAGTAAAAGTTATTCATGCAGTATATTACTCAAACCTTTTATATACGTTGTGGCCGGATTTTAAAACAAGATGGATAATTTCATGTTCTGTAATACAACTGTACACGTTTAAGATGGAGGTAAAGAAATATACCTCACAATGGACGATGACTATTTCACAGGCTGGCAAGGGATTTTCCCCCTTATGTACAACACTGCATGATTGGGAAGGTGTATCAAACAAGCTTATTGTTACAGCCTGTCCCTGAAACATCACATATTGGTAGGACACAAGAGCCAGTTAACAGGATTCGAGTCTTTAACTGCACACGCTATGCAAAATAAGTCTTCAGAATTACATTGGAAAACAAGAAGTCTGCTCCATGTAAATACTAAACAAATCAGTCTCAGCAGTTATGTGAGTAACATCATAGTAAATCACACCCTCTAATACCTACAGCAGTGGAGAATTTATAGTCTTCTGTTTGATGTGCATCATTTGGAACCAGTCTAAAGGAGACTAGTGATTTGGAAACTTTTACCATTTTTAAAGGAGTCCCACTAGTACAGGCAGTCCCCGGGTTACGTACAAGATAGGGACTGTAGGTTTGTTCTTAAGTTCATTTGTATGTAAGTCGGAACTGGTACATATTGTAGGGGAAACTCTAGCCAAAACATTTCTCCAGAGCTCAGTTTTATTCTCCCACACCTCACTTCCCCTCAGTCCTTTATTCTCAAGCTGAGATGTCTGCTGAGAAAAGCCGCTCCACATCTCCCTGGTCTGCTGGGGGGGGGGCACTAGCTTCGCGTCTCCCTGGTCTGCTGGGGGGAAGCAGCTAGTGCGGGGTTGCCTCACCCCGTTTGTAAGTAGGGATCTGATGTAAGTCAGATCCATGTAACCCGGGGACTGCCAGTACTTTTGAAAACCCTTCTGCAATATACACAAACATTACCTGAGGTACTGAAGCTACCTGACGTGGGCTTTCTCTGCCTATTTTCTTGGTAGTGTAACAAGTGCGACCACAAAGCAGATTTTCCCTAAAATTAAAAAAAAAAAAGATTGTTAACATATTGAATTTAGCAATTCAAATCAATAAATGTGTTGCATTTCCTAAAAAATTAGAAACCACCACTAAAAGTAACATTTTCAACAGTTAGTTCTAAAGATATTTTGTTTTCCATAACAATATCATTAAAAACACAAGAAACAAAAGAGGTAGGAGGAAGTGAACAGATGGAAAAAGGACAGAAGAACAAAAGAAAAAGTGGAAAGGATTTGTAAAAATGTTAACTGTTCAGCATCTCCACTCTTGGTGTTAATTTTTTTTTAAAAAAAGAAGACTGGCTAGATGTACAGATTCTGGTAACTGAACAGTTCAGCTAAGCATCACTTCTGTTTATTAATATATGACCTAAATATTTATTTAAATATGCACTATAAAGATACGTACTACAAACTGATGTCCCATCACCCTGTAACCTGAGTTGACAGATACCTCACCCCTTCTATGGGGAAAAGAAGCACCAACAGGGCAGACACTTATGCTTATATCTACACGTAAAATGCTACAGAGGCACAGCTACAGTCGCACTGCTACAGCACTTCAGTGTAGACACTCACTGCGACAATGGAAGAATCCTTCCTGTCACCAGTTAATCCACCACCCCCAGGAACAGGGTAGCTAGGTCAAATTCTTCCATCAACACAGTGCTGTCTACACTGGGGCTAGATTGGCACAGATGTGTCTCAGGTTTTTCACACCCTTGAGAGATAGAGTTATGTTAGTGGAACTTCTCAGGGTAGACTCACGTGAGTCTACAACAGGCTACCCAAGTTGGTGATAAGGATTAAGAGCTACTTTTTCTGGTCCTTCAAAGCTTAGTCCAAGTTCCTCTACCAAAGAGATCAAAGGTTTTCATTACAAATGTTAAAAAAAAATAACAACACATACACACAAAGATAAAGAAATTCAAATAAAGCTTGAAACTATTTTTATAGACAGTAAAGAAATTCTGAAGGGTAAAATTCAGAATGCAGTATTTAGGACACTAAGTCAAAGGTAAAGTTTATATCTTTAGTCAATATGATGTCTTCCTAAAAAGGGTCAGGAGATTTACACTGACTCACCCTACAGCTAGTTATGAATGACAAATCAAGTGATATTGAAGTCACAGAAGACACCAATACCCAAATAGGGATTATCAGGAACATTAATTGGATGCACTTCCTTAAGAAATGATTTGTAAGAGTCTTTTAAGAAGCTTTACTGGGGATCTCAGTAAAGAATGAGAAATCATCTTTCTGCTAAAAGGGCAGATTAGATAGGGTTTTTTTTTTCCATAAGAGAAAAAAGGTAGATGGGCTGTCAAATTTTGGCTTTATTTGGGGGTTTCCTATTTGTATCTGCAGTGTGTAAGAACCACTCATGGTATTTAAAATATCTGAACAGTTAGGTGTTTGGGGGCGAAATAATTAAGGGGTGACTGTTGCAGGTGCCAAAAGCAAAGTCTCCTTTGAAAAATCTAGCCCAACTTGTTCATTTCTGCGAGTAATGTGGACAGGGAGAACTAGCGCCTCTAATCACAGACCTACAAGGTATTTACTCCAAGGTCTTATTCCCACACTAGTTACATTGGTATGTTTCTAAAATATAAAGCTCAAATGTCTCTTTCAAAATTGTGGAAATCATCTCTCACAAATTGTTGAGTGAAAACATTACAAAAAGCCCCATAGAAACCTGATTTCTCATTAGTGTAACTGGAAGGCCCACTGTGAAAAACAAAAGCTACAGCGGGCCTTACAAAAGGACAGGCATGAAAATCATTCATGGAGATTATCACAGCCAAAATACTATTTCAGGAGATGGGGAGACGAATATACACTCTAATACATTCTGGCAACGCAGCATTTCAACAGATGAGGATAGCATATGCTCCCAGTGCTGGAACACCTGAAGAAGGCAAATAAGCAAAGGCCTCTACAGAAAATGGAAACAGCAATACCAAACGAGTATTGGAAAGAAATCATACTATGTGCATCTGCCTGTTTCTTTCACCAGCACATTATTATTTGGACACACCAAAGGAGCGTAATAATGATGCAAGTTACAAGTATAAAAAGGAGAAGGAGACAGCCCCAGGGAAGGAGGGGAATTCATATATATTTAGGCTGGGCCAGACTGACAAGGGCACTAGATCCTACACTGCATGATCAGACTGGATCAGTTAAGGCAAGAGGTGAGCTTTGGTCAATTGATGGGCACAGAGTTGAATAGCACAAATGCGAGAAGTATGGGTAATAAGCAGGAAGAACTGGAATTGCTAACAAATAAATACAACTATGATATCATTGGTATTACAGAAACCTGGTGGGATGGGACGCATGATTGGAATGTTGGTATGGAAGGGTACGGCTTGCTCAGGAAGGACAGACAGGGAAAAAAGGGAGGAGGGGTTGCCTTGTATATTAAAAATGTACACACTTGGACTGAAGTGGAGATGAACGTAGGAGATAGCTGTGTAGAGAGTCTCTGGGTTAAGCTAAAAGGGGTAAAAAACGAGGGTGATATCATGCTAGGAGTCTACTACAGGCCACCTAGCCAGGTGGAAGAGGTGGATGAGGCCTTTTTTAAACAATTAACAAAACTATCCAAAGCCCAAGATTTGGTGGTGATGGGGGACTTCAACTATCCAGACATATGTTGGGAAACTAACACAGCGAGGCACAGGCTATCCAATAAGTTTCTGGACTGCATTGGAGACAACTTTCTGTTTCAGAAGGTTGAAAAAGCTACCAGAGGAGAAGCTGTTCTGGATTTGGTTTTAACAAATAGGGAGGAACTAGTTGAGAACTTGAAAGTGGAAGACAGTATAGGGGACAGTGATCATGAAATAATAGAGTTCATGATCTTAAGGAAAGGTAGAAGGGAGACCAGCACAATTGAGGTTATGGATTTCAGGAAGGCAGATTTTGATAAGCTCAGAGAACTTGTAGGTAAGGTCCCATGGGAAGCAAGACTGAAGGGAAAAACAACTGAGGAGAGTTGGAAGTATTTCAAAGGGACGTTGTTAAGGGCCCAAAAGCAAACAATTCCGCTGTGTAGGAAAGATAGAAAATATGGCAAAAGACCAGCTTGGCTTAACAAGGAGATCTTGCATGATCTCAAAATAAAAAAGGAGTCATATAAAAAATGGAAACTAGGACAACTAACAAAGGATGAATATAGGCAAGCAACACGGGAATGCAGGGGCAAGATTAGAAAGGCAAAGGCACAAAATGAGATCAAACTAGCTACAGGCATAAAGGGAAACAAGAAGACCTTTTATAAATACATTAAAAGCAAGAGGAAGACCAAGGACAGGGTAGGCCCACTGCTTAGTGAGGAGGGAGAAGCAGTAACAGGGAACTTGGAAATGGCGGAGATGCTCAATGACTTCTTTGTTTCGGTCTTCACCGAGAAGTCTGGAGGTGTGCCTAACGTAGTGAATACAAGCAGAGAGAGGGTAAGTTTAGAAGATAGGATACACAAAGAACAAGTTAAAAATCACTTAGGAAAGTTAGATGTCAGCAAGTCACCAGGTCCTGATGAAATGCATCCCAGGATACTCAAGGAGCTGATAGAGGAGGTATCTGAGCCTTTAGCTATGATCTTTGAAAAATCATGGCAGACAGGGGAGATTCCAGAAGACTGGAAAAGGGCAAATATTGTGCCCATCTATAAAAAGGGGAATAAGAACAACCCAGGAAATTATAGACCGGTCAGTTTAACGTCTGTCCCAGGGAAGATAATGGAGCAGGTAATTAAGGAAATCATATGCAAACACTTGGAAGGTAATAAAGTGATAGGGAATAGCCAGCATGGGTTTGTGAAGAACAAGTCATGCCAAACTAATCTGATAGCTTTCTTTGATAAGATAACGAGCCTTGTGGATAAGGGAGAAGCGGTGGATGTCATATACCTAGACTTTAGTAAGGCATTTGATACGGTCTCGCATGATATTCTTATTGATAAACTAGGCAAATATAACTTAGATAGGGCCACGATAAGGTGGGTGCATAATTGGCTGGATAACCGTAGTCAGAGAGTTGTTGTTAACGGTTCTAAATCCTGCTGGAAAGGGATAACAAGTGGAGTTCCTCAAGGGTCTGTTTTGGGACCCGTACTGTTCAATATCTTCATCAATGATGTAGATATTGGGATAGAGAGTACTCTTATTAAGTTTGCAGATGATACCAAACTGGGTGGGGTTGCAACTTCTTTGGAGGATAGGGACATAATTCAAAATGACCTTAGCAAGTTAGAGAAATGGTCGGAGGTAAACAGGATGAGGTTTAATAAGGAGAAATGCAGAGTGCTCCACTTAGGAAGGAACAATCAGTTCCATACATACAAGATGGGAAGCGACTGTCTAGGAAGGAGCATGGCGGAAAGGGATCTAGGGGTCATAGTGGACCACAAGTTGAATATGAGTCAACAGTGTGATGCTGTTGCCAAAAAAGCAAATATGATTCTAGGTTGTATTAACAGGTGTGTTGTAAGCAAAACTCGTGAAGTCATTCTGCCGCTCTATTCTGCACTAGTTAGGCCTCAGCTGGAGTACTGTGTCCAGTTCTGGGCGCCACATTTCAAGAAAGATGTGGAGAAATTGGAAAGGGTACAGAGAAGAGTGACAAGAATGATTAAAGGTCTAGAGAAGCCTATGAAGCCAGGCTTCATGAACTGGGCTTGTTTAGTTTGGAAAAAAGAAGATTAAGGGGGGACATGATAGTGGTTTTCAAATATCTAAAAGGGTGTCACAAGGAGGAAGGTGAAAATTTGTTCCTCTTGGTTTCTGAGGACAGGACATGGAGTAATGGGCTTAAAGTGCAGCAGGGGAGGTTTAGATTGGACATTAGGAAAAAATTCCTAACTGTCAGGGTGGTCAAATATTGGAATAAATTGCCAAGGGAGGTGGTGGAATCTCCCTCTCTGGAGATATTTAAGAACAGGTTAGATAGACATCTGTCAGGGATGGTGTAGATGGAGCTTGGTCCTGCCTTGAGGGTGGGGGGCTGGACTCGATGACCTCTCGAGGTCCCTTCCAGTCCTATGATTCTATGAAAGAACCAGTTGATAGCTCTGCAGAATGAAACAAATCCATCAGCAGGGAAACAGGCAAAAGTGTGGGGAGAAGGCAGCCATCTTTATTACTATGCTCCACTGAGAAGGCATGTGTTCAGTATTGGACGAATCAATTTATAAAATAGCAGGCTTCCACAATTTTAAGAGGCCAGAGTACACGTAATATTAGTAATGCTTTTTATTTTGGATCACAGTGTAAGACATATTGCACTTCCTTTGGCAGGCCTCTAATTATTCTACCACAACAGACTGCTCAGCACTGTTTGCCTACATCTGCAATCAATCCAAAGCATTAACCTTATGTGGGGTTGGCCGCCTGGTTGTCTGAAAGGCCCAAATGTGAGTTGAAGCAGAGTAAACTGATGCTCTGTCTTCTAGGCTGAAAGTAGTACAGCTTCTATCCTAAGTAGCATACAAGAGGGAAGGGAGAGTCAGACGATATACCTTCACACAGAGAAACTACCATTCAAGTCTGAATGAGAACAGACTTAGCCAATGGCGCCATGGAAACAGAGGGCAGAGCACTTGGATTATAGTTGCCTGGATTAAACATAATTTACTCTGCAAAATACTTCTTATAAATAAAACAGCATTTCAGCTCAATGTTCCCCTCCCAACACATGCAGGGGAAAGGAGGAAGAAACAACACCCCCTACACTCTGTAATCTTACAGGAGAAATCAAACAGCTGGAGCTCTATAATGAAAGGAGAGTGATACCAGAGGCCTTGTAAAACCACACTTGCCCATCTCTAAATAATTCTTTTGCTTGTTTTCACTGAGCCTGGGTAAGGGAGAAGAGAGGTCTTAGTGTTGTACATTAAGCTACCCTGCTTGAAGATAAATCCCCACACCCCATAAACCAATTAACAGCATGACAAGCTGAAAACTCTCAAGTCTGCACAGCTACAGTAAAAGAGAAAATAAAAAATGCAAACTGATGAAAACTATCACTATATAAAAACAGAAATAAAATAGTAAGCAGGTATTCAAAAAGTCATGTCTGAGCGTTCTGTTGGGTACTACACGTTGAGGAAGGGAATGGGGGATCCATTTAGTACCAAAATTGTTGGATTTTAAGAGTATAAAATAGAATTAAAAACAAGCAGTGAAACATAGTTGTGAGGCTGTAAATTCTATGAAATGCCATTATTTACCTGTTTGACTTGCAGACCATGACTCCATATCCTTTCTAAGAGATCACAAAGACTGGCTATTAATGTATTCTCTTCTACACCTGTGATGTTCACCTCACCATGACCTAATTCCACAGCTTCTCTGCCCATTTTTTCAACCAGCATCCTCTTGGTCTTGAAAAGAAGATGGCAAAATGAAAGTTATTCTTAAACACCAGGAACTCTATGATCCTACACATTCTTTCACAATAGTAAGATAGAGAATACAACTGGGTTTATACAGTGCCCCTGACAAGTTATGCAGAGACACATTTCTGTTATTTCACTAATAATCCTCCTTTATGAGGCATCACCTGACAGCCTCTTCCATCTTTTTATCTAGCTGAGTTATGCAAAAGGACACATGTGGCCTCCAGAGACTGGCTGGAGGGTTTAGAATGGGTAACCACCACCGAGTGCACCTTTGAGTGGAACAGGCAGAGGTCAGGGAGGCTTGCCGAACCTGAGGAGATTCAAGAGCAGAGTAGATACAGAACTAGAAGAGATATTCCCCAAGTCTGTCACCCCAACCACCCACAAATCTGTCAGTAAACATTACTTTTAGTGGTGTTTTTTAATTTTCAGTTTTCTATCTGAGATAGTGACAGTGAAGAATGAAGCTTTTCCTGCCCTCTAGCTGCGGCCAGGTCCCTTGAAACAGAGAAGATAGCTAAAGCCCTCTCTGTGAGGAAAAGTCCTGTTTATTCAGGCTATGTCTCCTCTGGATAAACGTAGAGACAGATTTGGAAATACCCTACTGTCAGCATGCAGATGCCTGTGAGCCCCATCTGAGTGTTGTTTTTCTAAGAGGAACCCTTTCTCACGTATCCAGGAGGACATGGAATCTATCCTCCTTGTCCCTGGAGCTTGCAAGTGGCTGCCGAAGGGTTATGGACAGCTTTCCTTGTAAGCTGTGTGCTTCTGCGGCTGCTCAGAGAGATTAAAATGTCACCCAGCTCATTAGCCGAGTGCCCACTGCTAGGTGTTTTGTTTCTAGATGTGGTACATGTTCACACCTGCCGCAGTGCACATAAAAATTATTCCACACAAGGGCGAAAAAATTAGAGGGAACATTGGTTGTGTGGTTCTCCTGCATGCTGCTATCTCCTCTGCAGTGACTTGGCTATCAGTCACGCCTACCCTTCCTATGGCCTGTTAACAGTTCTCTCTGAGACAGGGTGAGGGGGTTGAAAAGGGGACATGGGTTGCTGCTGGTGGATGCAGGGATAGAGGCATAAGCAGGAAGTTTTCAGCAGATGAAGACAACCTACATTCATCTAGCCAGGTGGCAGCCACATCATAGGAAAGATGTATTCTTCTAACACAATGTTTTTCACACTACAGGTCATGGAATGTTGGGCACTGGGTCTCCTTGCTGCAGGGTGAGCAGGAGGCGCTAAGGCAGCTACCTGCCTGTCCAAGAACTGCGGACCGCACAGTGCCCCAGAAGCGGGCGACAGCAGGCCTGGCTCCTATGTGAGGGTGGGGGGCAGAAGAGCTCACAGGGCTCCTTGCACTGCTCCTGCCTTGTGCACTAGCTTTGAGGGGGATTTGACAGCAGCCTTCAACTTCCTGAAGGGAGGTTCCAAAGAGGATGGAGAAAGGCTGTTCTCAGTAGTGGCGGATGGCAGGACAAGGAGCAATGGTCTCAAGTTACAGTGGGGGAGGTCTAGGTTGGACATTAGGAAAAACCATGTCACTAGGAGGGTGGTGAGGCACTGGAATGGGTTACCTAGTGAGATGGTGGAATCTCCATCCCTAGAGGTTTTTAAGTCTCAGGGTATGTCTACACTACAAAGTTAATTCGATCTAACGGACGTTAGTTTGAACTAACTTTCCAAGGCGCTACACTAGCGCTCCGTTAGTTCGAACTTAATTCGAACTAACGGAGCGCTTAGTTCGAACTAGGTAAACCTCATTTTACGAGGATTAAGCCTAGTTCGAACTTACTAGTTCGAATTAAGGGCTGTGTAGCCCCTTAATTCGAACTAGTGGGAGGCTAAGGCTTCCCAGGTTTCCCTGGTGGCCACTCTGGCCAACACCAGGGAAACTCTATTGCCCCCCTCCCGGCCCCAGAGCCCTTAAAGGGCCACGGGCTGGCTACACAGTTTGTGCCAGTTGCAAGGCTGCAAGCACCCGTGCCAACACACCCTGCACCTGCCACACGATGAGCCAGCCACCCGAGGACACCCAGCCCTCCACTGCTCCCCGGGACCAGCCTGGCGGCTCCCAAGAGCCTGCCCGGGGGCGCAAAAGGAGGGCGCCCGCTTGGTCAAGCGCCGAGATCGTGGG